TATAAAGTATTGTAACAATATATATTACTCACTAGAATCAGAAGCGATGAGAAGATTGGGAGTTGAGAATACAAAGCTAACAACAGATAAGTGCTATCTCTTGTTCCCTAATGACCCAGATCCGACTGCAAAGTTAAATGTACCTAATGGTACTGACGCTCTTCATTACTTAATTTCCAAGCTAAAGCTTAAACGCCTACGTCCCTGTGTAACAGTATTGCACAGGATGGAACAGCTTAGAGCTATAGTTCATCAGTTAATGATCCGTCTGACGGCCAACAATAAGATATACGCAGTAAACAGACGTAACAGTCTGACCTCGTATTTAAGTAAATTCGATATCGAGAAGTAAAGCAAGAGGAGGTGGTGTAACACTACACCGCCGCGGAGGGCAGCCGGTCGCATCAGCTTACGTCTCGGGTCAATGCAGCCATTGTAGTGTCGCGTGTTCACAGTGCACATAAACCCACTCTCGGCCCCGGATATTTCCAGGGAATCATCCACTCCATTGTTGCGCAAAATAACTCACTTCTTGGTACCTTTTTAAGTTGTAAAATTGCAAACTGTCTATCGGCATTAATTTAAGTAATGTCTTTTTTGTTTTAAAAGTAGCTTAGCTTAGGGGCTTACTTGAAAACTTAATTATAAAGGCACACTAGAAGAGCACAGGTAGCACTAGGGAACCAGTTTCAGGCGTGGGGTGAGGAGGACGCAGGTAGTTAGTTTACAGTTATACTGACCGAGCCCCAGCTCCTAGGACCGGACACACAACTATTATGGTATAACAGTCAACACGACCTCATATACCTAAACATTTTTCGCTGCCTTCTATATATGTAAATTTAATAAAAATAATAATTAATTTGAATATTATTTAATATGTTATTTCACAGAAAAGAAAGTCATCAAAATAATAATTAAATCGTAAAATAGGTACTCATTTCCACAGTCCGTAGTCGCAGCTGGTTTGGTTTAATTGAAACCTTAATAGTTACAATGTGTTTATGGCACAATCGATGTAGGAACCATAAACCACGTACAAATGCAATGAATGGTGAGTTAAAGTGCTTGTTCCCTCGGCACTTAGCGGCCTGTGTCGACACTCGACGCTGCTTTGAGACGAGTACCACTCGCCACTAGCAATGCTGAGCGGTATTTAAAGACATTGTATTTACTTTACACAATTTTTTATTAAATTAATCGACTTGTTTAAGCTATCGCGGAATATGCTTATGCTGCATCAAGAGCTCACCCCACATTAAGTATTACTAAGTTATATGGATGTAATTTTTGCATATATGTATTATATACGTTTCAATCTTTGGCTATATCTTGATATAATTGTTTTTTTAGTTAGCTGTAGGAGTACGAAATTAATAAATAAATAAATTACGGTTTTGTCGAAAAATCTTCTCTACCATTACTTACGGTCTTCATAAAAGTATTATAAGGGTTAATAACTTAAAGCTTGTTTTGTCACGTTTATTTAGTCGCAACGACAGGAGATTCTTGTCGAAGGACGTACATTGCATATTAGGAGACGCGCTATTCACACTTCGCCCGTAATAACTACACGGGTTTATTTAAGACTTTACTTGCTTTTTTAAATCTTATTACAAAAATAGTACTTTCATTGGTTTGAATGTTAGTGACAATTGCGTTATTTTGGTACGAACCTAAGTGCGTTTCAAATGTCCGTATTTCTATCGGAATCGATTGAAATGCACAGCGCTAGACAGATTTTTCAGTGACGGCTCTGCCGCGAGTGTGAATATTAATAAAAAAAACAATTCAGAGATTTAAAGGTCAAAGTGCCAGCTCACAACAGGGCATTTATCGTTATATCTTCAATAATGCCATTAATACCTTAAACCGTGTCATAATACTTAATAGGATCCTGATCAGTCAATTTGCACTTAGATAGCGAAATAGCTGAAAGTAATAAAAATTCCTGCGACACCCTAGGGGGGTTTCGCCCGCTTCCCATTCAACCCCACTACACTTATAGATACCTATCAGGTAAGCATTAGCAACCATTATGATTTGTTTTTATTACTTTTATACATCACAATATTCAATTAGGAAATCGTTGATACTCCTCTAAAACAGTTTTCGCTGCATCACAACATCACTCGACTCGGTGTTGACGCAGTCACAATTCACCAGTCGAGGCTGGAACGCGACGAGTGACCAGTTATAGCAACTTCCGCGTTGCCCGAGTGCAACTACATATATATACTCGTTTACCCTTATTATGTAAATATATAGAGGTATATACTAAAAAGCGACTTTACGTGACTGTATGCTAACATTCCACATGAACGGCTGCATATTTAATTTAGCTATTGTTCAATATAACAAACAACTTTGCAACAACCATGATATGTTTTCACTCGCGTTAATCTGAGACAGAACGTGCAAGACATTATACCAACCATAACTTTGTTCTTCTACGGAGTAACTTCAAAACTATAATATCTCCTAATATCTTTATTTAAATCAAATTATGTTAAGGGCAACTTTGTTCAAAATTAAAAATACATATGAAGAAACCGGAAACTTTATTTCTATACGGATTAATATTGTGTTTATAAAAATATAGATCGATGCAAGGAGCAAATCCTTTTGGTTATACCGTGGATTCGAACACACGACCACAGGGTTGAGAGTGGCCAAGACTAATTTGATAATTTAATTATGGAGAGCATCAGACGTTGAAGACTTGAGCTCATGTGACGTGTGATAGTAATTAATAAAATAGTATTTCTGTTGAAATAAAACAATAGCGATATCAATATAGGTCTTGCGATAATACTCAAATATATTATGACAATATTGACGCAACCGAGCTCTTCCCTCGAGCCATTATTTAAATGAATATCACCATTAACAATAATTAAACAAGTAGAACAGATAACACCGAGACATTCACCGCTCACATATCGCACTCGGCTAAGTCAATGTTGCATCTGCGCTCGGCCTCGTTGCACTTTTAAAACGGTTCACGCACAAATCGCCATTGTTATTTCTATTTATATATTATACGCTTCCTACATAGCATTCTGGAAACCATTAATCAACAATTGCGAGGAATGAGTATTAAGCAAAAACATCACGATTCAGGGTAATTTTTGACATGTTCGATTACTCTTAGGTACGAGACGCGAACTCAAATTGGAAAGTTGCGTCGTCCGTACCCGACATTCCGTTGCCTTAGGAATATGGGGGAAACCATTGTTACGTCAGAGAATGTAGTTGGATAAAGCATAATGAATATTATATATTGGATATATATCGCGGTCGATCGCCCGAGACCGAGCTCGAGCAGCTGCCACACAACCGGTTTGCCTCCTCGATTCACATATCTTTTGCCATTGCTAAATGCGAAATGGGAAACAATGCGGTATAATAATGTCGCAGTAAAAGTAATGAGCAGCTTACACCTCATTTTGTGTACCGACGACCTTCACGGGCATCTGAAGCAGTGAACCTATCACAATTGTAATGCTGTAGGCGCTCTCCGTGCTATGCTTCATCGGATTATTCAATAGTTGACCTCTGACGCGGGTTCATTGGCACACTGCGTATTGTCACAAATCACGATTTAATCGATAAGAGATATCTATAGTTGATTACCAGAATAGATAGAAACTGAGATCTTCCAATCGCAAATAGTACTTAACCGACACAGAAAAACGACGCAATCAATAATGGCGATATCGAGTCATCATTTTTCACCCACTTACTGAATGCTTTGTAAAAACAGTACCAACGAATGCTTTGTCTAAATGAAGTAGTACTTTCATATACTATATAGAAGCAATGATTCTGATCTTCACGAGTGTCCACAATTAGGCAAATATTAATATTAAACCTTATTTGAATAATGAAAGGAAAATATAAATGTCCCGACGATCGGATTTCCAAGAAGGTACCGCCCAGATTAAATTTTACCAATAATTTAAATTAAGATTGTTGTTAATTTTTATCTGAAACAAAAGCTGTTTGACCAAATGTAATAATAAAATACGTACGCGCAGAGACATAATATCTTTATAAGTACAAACGTTTGGGGGTAAAAGAAATGTACCTAAATCATTAGCGTGGACAACAAAAACGTAGATAAATATTTCTTTAGTTGACTAAGAGTATCATTTTACAATGATATCGATAAAGAGGACTGTTATAGGAAAACCGAAATCGACGCGCGACCTTCGCTGACTCACTCCGTCATTACCGAACGACTCGCGCGCTCTCTTCTGCTCCGATAAGGACAGCTATACGGATTCCGCAAAGCAGTCCTAATTAATACTTGATGTTCGCTTTGTTAAATTTATATTATGATGACTTTGGTAATGTAATGCTCAGGTATATTTGGCCATGAAATTACATCGAACAACCCAGTGAGTAGTGACCGCGTGCAGGATAAAAGATTTAAACGCGCTCATGCAAACGGTCAGCCACGCAACAGTCACGTAAAGGTCGAAACGGTTTTTTTGTAGAATTTTGTACGGTGTGTCCCTTCTCGTATGTGCAAAATCTAGATACTTGCGGCACGGCACTTGTTCACGTAATATCGGTAAACTGGTGGGAAAACGTAAGTCTGAAAGCCATTTATAAAGGCACTTCGGTATCAGCGGGCGTATGTTTATCTCGGCTACTTTTACCTTGTTCTTGCATAAGAAGTCTCGGACCTCGGCTCAGCAGCTATGTTAGAGAGCTCAAGAAAGAGGGCACGAGGAGAATTAAAACTAAGTGATGATACTTCGAATCTCACAATCATTTTATTTTTCCAGCCAATCGAATAGGCTAAACGTCATCGTCATTTTCACTGTATAAATTAACACAGACATACAAAATTAAAACAATATGATACAAATATAGTATACCTCTTAACACTAATTTAATTACACAATATATTTATATGTACGTATGTACAGCCTCGTTCGGTTCGGTCTCGGGCGGACCGGAGTCATTGACAGATCACGGGTAATACTAAGTTAACAGACCGTCTCCATGGGCAGGCGCTGGGCGGGCGGCTGCGCGGGCGGAGGTGCGGCAGTAGTGTGCGTGAGTGATTCGCCGCACGAAGGCAGGTGCGACGACGAAGTGGCGGCGTGCTGTGAGGGCCGCGCGCAGCAAGCGGCGGCAGCGCGCTTCAAGGCGGCCCATGCGTGCGGCTGGCAGCCCACTACCAAGAAGATGAACACACCTTGCAAGGCGTTGAGCAGGTCGGTGGCGTACCACACGTACTCAGGCCCGCCGGCCGCCCACGACACCACGTCGGCTCCCCACGTTACACCCATCACCACCACCAACTTGGCGCACACGCGGCCCAGCGCCGCCCGCTCCGAAGTCGACTTGACTTCGTCGCGCCGCCACAGTCCGCAGGTGAGCTGACGTGTCGTCGACACGAAGAGTGCAAGATTGACGAGGAGCAGCACACCGACGGGCCCGAAGAAGTACACCAAAATTTCCATATCACCGTAGAACCAGCAGCGCTGCACGGCGAAGCGCGGGCGCAGGAGATGCGGGGCTGCGGCTGGCGGCAAACGGTCCAGAAGGAGCGCTGCGCCCGCCAGCAGCAGCGGCCCGCCCCACGCGTACACCATGTACACGCGTAGCCGGACAGTCTCCTGCCCGCGCTCCAACGACGTCGGCCGGAAGTCTCTGCGGACCGAAACTTTCTCGTTAGTTCATGAATTTAAGTATAAAGCAAAACCCACGGAACGAAGCAAATGACGGTCATAGAAAGCTAACTCAGTCGTACTTATTTCTGACAAACTGATCTGTGGTTTTCAAAGTAAATATAAATTTAATTATATAAATATTACTTTATGAACTAAAGGGCTGCGGATCGAATTCGCCGCTTTGTTATATTTAGTTGGCGGGTATATTATAAATAAATACTGCCACATAGGTATGTGGTATAACAAATTATATTTGTTTGATTACATTTTTAATTTAAAATAATTACGTATGAAGACCCAAAAGCTGTTTATACTGTATGATTATATTAAAGAAAATTATGACTCTCACCGGAAAGTCCACCAAATGTTGAAGCACATGGTGTTCAGCCAAAAGAAGGCAGAGAGGAAAAGGAAATGCATAGCGACAGCGAGCGCACGACAGAGCGGCGTCGGTACTGCGTCCCCAACGAGCTGAGTGGCTGCCAGTAGCGCGTCGCCGAACATTAGCGCGGCCACGTAGTGAGTCTGGCAGCGCCAGTGTAGAGCGTGGTGTGCCGCGGGCAATGCAAATCCTGCCGCGAGTGTGGCCGCGAGGAACGCAGCGCCCACTGCCAGCCCCGCACCGTACAACGCGTGCCGAGCTGCCCGCACGGGACGTAAAGCGCGGGCAGCGCTCTCACACGCAAGCACGCGCGCGCTATCCTCTCCGCGTACGCTTTCTGCGCACCATGCACCGCTTGCCAGCTTACCGCCGGGCAACTCTAGCGCGCCGTCTTGGGTAAGTTTAGCTGCACCGAGAGCACCCGCCACTGCGTACTCGCCGCCTTCGCACGAAGGCCATCCCCCGACGGAAACGCTGCCGTTCCACGCTCTTCGTAACTCGTCGAGCGCTGCCGAAGCAAGCGTATCATCTTCTATGCAGCGAGCTCCATCCAAAGCGCGTCCTTCAGCGCAGCACTTGGCTACGCCGCCCTCTTCCACCTCATCGGCGCACACGAGTGCGGCTCCCGACTCGGCGCAGTAACGCTGCGTTGGAATGGCCCCGGTAGCCCCACGAAGCAGCAGAGACGCATTATTAGCGAGCAATGCGTATGGTGCCGCGTGTTCTAGAACCACACGTAATTCGGGGCATTCGGGCACTATTGCTTCTGAGAGTCGCCAGTGTTGAGGCAGGCGACCGCGCTCGAGAAAGGCACCGCGCGCGGGGGCATACACTAGCGGTGCCCAGGGTGGCGGGTTTTCCCTGGATTCACAGGCTGCGAGGAGGCCAGCCGCTGCCACACGGGTCCCCCGCAACAGATCTGATGGTAGCGCGTGACCTGGCGGACAACAGCGAGGTACAGCAAGCGGTGCGGGCCGAACACTCTCTGAAGCGGCCCACAACAGCATGAGCGCAGCAAACACCCGTACCAACATGTCGCGACTGAACGTCCGCACTTTCACATTTACCACCACCGCCGGCGACACTAAATTAACATGTTTTAAACAACCGTGAGTTTCCTTTTCACACTATTTAAGCTCTTTTAAGATTTTATGCAATGGGACCCGATATATTAACATAAACATATTTCGTTCGTCGGTCGAGTAAATAACACGTGAGAACAGAGTTTTGTGTAGAATTAACGCGACCTCTCAATACGGCGATTAAAGCGTTACTAACGCAGGTTAGTAATCAAAATCATACAGTGTTACCCCAGTCCTCATTCCTCGAGTCGTTGTCGCCACTTGACAATGACGCCGCGATCGCATTGACAGTTGACACTTGACAGCGACACTTACCTTGTCTGCAGATTATTATGTTTGGTAACTTATTGTTGGTATTTATCGCCTTTAGAACGTCATGACTCCTGAGGCGTGTTCCTTTTTAGTAATAATTATTTTTCAACATTTTTGAATTTACAACTCTATGAGGCAAATTTATGAAATTTAGAAAGATAAATTTATTCCAATAAAAATAATTTATTGTGTCTGTAGTCTTCAGTAGTTCGTTTAGCAATAAGCCCATCATCAGAAAATAGATACAAAAAACTAGTGTTCTGGTTTGTACAAACAAACAGAATACATAATAATACAGAATACTTTATACAACGTATTCAGTTGTATAAAGTATTATACCTAGCTGATAAATGATAAGCAGTAATGGTCAACGATATCCTTTGCCTTCTTAATCTTCTTCCTAGATCTTGCCTTTTTCAATCGTGAGGGCGTTAAGCTCCCGATTATTGTCATGAAGTCAAAAATAAACTTGGCATATAACGATTCTATAGAATCTATACAAATATTATTAAGAAGTGAACTTTGCGAGGTTGTAGGAGGGTAATCTCTGGATCTATAGAATCGATTTAAAATAAAATTATTTTACCAATAGAAAGCCATGTTATTCTTCTCGTTTTATGAGAAAAAAAATCTTTAAAGTTGATGCCTAAGAAACTAAATTAAAAAAAAAAAAAGGGTGCGTGTACTTATGTACGCGCGTAAGAAGTTATACTTCTTTGGCATTATTAAAAATAGTTTGGCTTTGTTCCACCTCCAGTTTTTGATGTTTCACAGCGATAAGATGACAACTCTTTTTTTGTATTCAATTTAGTGCACTTACACTGATTCATCAATTGTTTTTTGTCTCTTGTCCTTATATTTGCTAGAGAAAAATTACATGTTTTGATTAAACAATGTGGTAATTTTTTTAATCAAAACATTACTCGATAATAATAATACAAACTGATAGTAAACCTCAATTGTAATGAAGCACGTAGGAGGGTTGATGAGCACAGTTTTTTCACAAATATTAATTAGTATTGGTTTAAATATTCAATTTAAATCACTTCTGATTATATATAATTCAAAAAGCATTGCTAAATTTCTTTCAAAAAATAATTAAAACTCCTTTATTTGTTTAAAAGGTAAATGACAAATGTCATTATGGTCATTCAAAATTCTTGGCATACGAACTTCACGCATATTCTATTTCTTTTTACTTGTAGATTGTCTTATTCCTATCTCGCTCGCGCACGCTATAATCACACTCCTAATTTTGTGTCAGAGGTGCGCGCGCATCGTAAAATTTCACTCTCATAAATTTTTCATAACGCGCCTAAAGAAGTATAACTTCAAAAAAAAGGACGGGGTCACTCCGGGAGTGCCGGCAGAAGTGAAAACTTGAATACTAACGTTGTGTATTTTTGATATTTTGGAATGGTTAGGGAATAATTTTGCACGAATTCCTTTAATTATCAGTATAAAAGTACTATCATTTATGTGGTAGAATACAATATGTATTTATTTATTGCGCTATCGTACACAAACATGACAATTTATATTACATTAAATACGCCGCGCCAGCTGTCTACTCTCCATCCGTCTTACGAGTTTTCGATCAGGTCACGTGTCCTAACGCGAATTTAACATTTTTACCCATTCCAAAAAAAGTGTACAACGCCGCTAAAGAAGTTGTCACTTCAAAAAAACATTTATCGTAATCATAGTTGTTGATAAGCGCTTACACCAACAGATGGGGAAGTCGGGTTGGGTAGGCCATGACATACCTGGACCAAAAACCAAATCTTATCTAGTACGAGTAGAATGGACAAGTTAAAGGTACCCATAACGGACGAGCGTGCATGGTAAATGTCATGTCTCTCGCTTAATCCCCTTCATACCCCTTCGGGCAAAAGGCGTGATGATATAAATAAAACTCCCAAGCGAAATTAGAAAACTATCACTAAATAAATTCAAAGCCCTCGTTAAACGAAAATTAATCAATAAAGCTTTTTATAAATTTGAGGAATACTTAAATGATCCTAATCCTTGGGACTGATTTGCTCCAGTTCAAACAATTTGTATGACAATACTTGGCGATTAAAAAGAGTCGCGGAAAGTTTCTTGCCAGTTCTTCTTACCCGCTCTACGCCCTTGACTTGCGAACTGGTAGGTAATGTAAATTTACAACTTCCCCTACATTAATAAAGATATTTTGAGTTTGAAATAATATATTTGTTCTTAAATAATTTGTTAATCCCGACGCTGCTTTTCAAAACATGTTAATTGTTACCCAAATAAATAAATCCTAATTCAACAATAGTGTTTCATTTTTAAGAAATATTATGAACAGCTAAACGCAATGTACCCTTGGGTCTCTAGAGACGGCAGTCATAATTGATATTGTCTATGATATTGTATAACGGTTTACGTCATTACCGTCGGATACATTTTATTTTTATAATTATTGCTAATCAAAGTTCATAATGCGGAAATCTATAGGTTCGGTGGCAAAACCGGTACAAGAACATAACTTATCGCCTTGGAATATATCTATGCACCCGAATTGTATGAATAGAGGAGTAGAGGCAAAAGCAAACAACGGCCTCGGTATGGTTTATAACTTTAGGTGTGAATTAAATGTTTTTCGCTTTAACATTTCTTTATGACAAAACAGATGAGGACAGCGAGGCGCCGAGTCATTCGTCCCCCGCGACTGACCTCTCCTCCGCTTCATACGTTCAGGTAAGGTTTCCCCCCTATTGCCTGGCCTTTAAGGCCTCCCTAACAAACCACCCAATATTTATAATATGGATTTCTGTCTCAGGTCGTCGTGCAGAAGCAAACACGTGGTCCCTGTCGATCACCATCGAGATTGGACGGCGCGCCGTCTGCCGTTAGTTCTATTTGCTTACGTCTCGGGGCCTATTTTTAATATATCATAGGAAAACGGAAATCTTGCGATCGAATTCCAACATTGCCGCAGGTGCAGCAGACGACACAAGCGACCGCGGGAGAGACGGGCGCGCGGTTGGCGGCGGCGGCGGCGCACTGCCCCGGCCTCAGGGCGCTCTTGCAACTGCAACCCGGCGCAAGCGCCGCCGGCCACGACGCCCCGTCTGGCCGTGGCCCTATTCGCGCGGTTAGTACCGGCTCATTGCCAATCTATTACGACATTTTGTGAGCGATCTCCGTCTTCGTTTTCACCGTGGGTTTTTCGTCACCAGAAAAACACCCAATGCGGCGTATGGAAGAAGCTGGGTGACGTCGCCGCCGGCAAGGAGACTCCGTGCGGAGTGGACGGTGAGTCGGATGCGGCTACCGAAGTGGGGTTAGGCGGTGAACTGAGACGTGCGGTGTGCAGGGCCGGCGCGCGTGGCGCTGTTCCGACTGGAAAGGGGTGCGGTATTGAGCGCGGTTCGTAGCTGGGATCCGGCGGGTCGGGGCTCCCGCGTCGAGCGCCTAGCGCGTCAGCTGGCCGCACCGGCCGTCGACCTGCTGGACGAGCTACTCGCGCTATTGCGGATCCTCTTCACCCTGCCCGTGCACGTCGTCCTCAGGGTCGTAAGGTATGTAGATTACGAGCGTCCGACCGTCGACGAGTCGCGATTTTCATGAAAAACATGTTTTCGGACAGATGCACCCTATCTACGTCCGTGTGGGCGGCGAGCGGCGCGATTCAAGCGGTGGCAGACGAGGTGCTGACTCCGACGCTGGCGCTGAGCTTCAACGCCCTGGCCAGACCTCCGCTGGTGCTGGCGACGCACTTCGCGCTAGCGCTGCGTGACGCTATGCGCCCGCTGTGGCTGGCGTTCTCCGACGCCCTGGAGCCGCTCGCTCGCGTGCTGACCGGCTTTCGCCTCGTCCACGTCGAGAGGGCTTGCCACCGTCCTCAGCTGCACCACGTCTGACGACCGAGCCTCGGCCTCTCTCTACAGCCGGTTTCGTAGAGGTCGTATTGCCGGCGTCCCGGGCGAACGGGGGGAAGGAGGGGAGGTAAAACGACACAAGAGGAATCGAGAACGAAATATATTAAAAGTAAACGGTTCACGGCGGCTGCGTGCGTTTGTCGTCGGGTAGGCCTGGCAGCGAGGCGTACCGCGGCGGGTTGGCCCAGGGGTCGTAGCCGAGCACGGAGAGCATAGGCGCCAGGTCGGCCATTTCGGCACGCACGTCGGGCGGCAGCGCGCCCACCCACTTGTCGAGCGCGTCCAGGTTGACAGGCCGAACCACCTGGTCCGACGAGCGCTCCACGTTGGACAACGCTACTCCGCCTGGCCGGTTAATGTAGCGCTCGTGGTGGAGCACAGCTTCGCTCCACGGCAGCTCCAGGAAGGCCAGCACGGCGCGCAGCGTTGTCTCCGGCGCCAGCACTAGCGCTTCGTAGCGCACGAGCAGACAACGGGCCGGGCCCAAAGACTTGCACTGTTGGTACATGAGCTCCACTGCATGGTTCCACTTGGTCAGACACTGGCGGTAGCTCGTCAGGTCGAAGCCCGTTATCGTCACCTGTTCCGAGAGACGCATCATCATATTTCAAGTTATGTTAAATTAAATATTAACTAATTGTTAAGAAGTAATTTTAATATTGTCAGAGACCGCTAACCTTTCTAGTTATGATGGAATGCACTGTGGCCCGACCGTCACGGACCATGAATACAAACTTAGCATTGGGAAACAGTTCTAACACATAAGTGCCCATCTTCAAGACCAGTGGATCTTTGTTGCAAAGGCGAGGCGCCGGATCGCCGTGGCCCACGATAACCTCGAGGCAAAAGGCAGCGATTGCGTTGTCCAGCACCGCCTTGGACACGCCGGCCTGTTCTAGACGCACGCTCTCTCGCTGCGATTTAACCCAATGCTGGCGCATTTGTAGGATACGGGGCACCACGCGAGTCTCTTGCCCGCAGCGTACATCCGGGTGCGCGTCCAGCATCGCCCGCATCAGCGTCGTGCCCGAGCGCGGTACTCCACCGATGAAAATGAGTGGTAGCTCTCGGCCCTCCACCGGCGCTCCGGCCGTACGTCTCGCACCCTCAGGTCCACTGCGCCACGCTCGCAGTAGTAGCGTGCCCGCCGCCACCAACGCCAGCGCCGCCAAAGCCCGCCCGCGCGCCCCGCGCCACATTGTACCTGCCACATTCCAAATTCATTATTTAATTTTAGTTAACTTACTGAACTCCTGGCCAGTGTTTTATTTTTGTTTCATGCGAGAAACCTTTGGCTAAGGACACCAATTGTGTGTTGATCCCACAATATGTTAAAAAATTATTTTTAAATCTACATTAAATGTATTCTTATTAAATACTTCTAGTGGTTACTATTAATATTTATAGTGGTTCTCATTCATATGACCAATTACTGATTAGTCAATAATACAGTCAAAATAAAACCGATAGTTGTAACAGCTGATGATGTTGTTATTAAGTACCTAATACAATAGAATTCAGCCTGGACCTTTAATTTTGGTAAATATGACCGGCATGTTGTTGTAAATGGTTTTGACTGTACTTATATACATAATATAGACATTGAAATATTTGCTTCTACACAATAATTTAGGTTTTTGGTACACACTATATTTATGTTGTTGTTGTTGTGTTGTTTTAGTGTTAAGTGTAAAAGAACCTATTACCGTTTGAATTGGAAAATTAATTTTAAAACTTACAATAAAACAATATAGGTCTTGTATATATTATGTTTAACACTTCCTGTAACAAATTAAATTTAAAAACATAGAGAAACCATATTAATGAAAGGTACCTACTTCTAAAATTTTATCAAACAATTTGGTGATAGACTAGATTTTTTTATACCTATTTGATTAAATTTATTTTAAAAATTTAATTGATCTGAAAATGATTCATTCCTGCAAGCAAATTTGCCTGGACTGGAAGTCAACAAGTTTGTTTTGAAGCACTGTGTGCTTGTTGCCAGACAAAATCTCTCAAAATGAACTTTTCAGGCAGTAGCTATAAAGTAATATTGCAATTACAGACATTATAATTTATAAAGAATAAACTCGAAATTCGGTACTCACCTACGTCAATAACTTCATTGCTGTTAGTAACACTTTACTGTTTGCCAACGCAACATTTTAATTTTTTGTAACTGTGACAATTTTCGTATGTCAAGTTGGAGAAAAATATTATTATGATATTGACCTAAAACAGAAAGCCTATACAGAATCTGTAAAAAATATCCTTAAAGTGAATATAATAGAATCATATTTATAATATTATTTAGTGAAAAAGAAAACAACACTTGAAAAATTATTAATACGTACCTTGTATTACTCTTAGTATTGACAACACTTGGCACTTGCAGCAAATTTCGGGCATACAATAAATCTTTTAATTTTTCAATAAAATATAGTTAAATACCTAATTTACTTAAATACCGTACAAATTATAGTGTACTCATGTAGCAAAGCAAATAAGATTTCTATTTTCTATTATAGAGTAGAATAACACAGATTAAGAAAAAATAAAATTGTAGGTATCACAGATTACACACTAATAGTATACGGGTACAGCAGGCATTACTCTAAAGCCGGGTCTAGACGAGTGTAACGTGTAATGTAAGATTACGTGTAATTTAGCATCAACAGTGTGGACAGCACACGAACTCAAAGCGAATTGTGAACGCGAAAATATTTCAAAAGCTGTTTCCACTCAGTTGCTACGAACATGCCGAATAGGAAGGTAGCTGGTGCGGCTTTTATTTTCATGTATTTACTAACTGAAGACCGCAAAAGTCGGAAGCGTCGATGGTGGAAAACTAATTTGTATAAAAGAAGATCTTCTTTACTTGTGGAACTAAAATCTCAACATATAAGCGGACCATATAAAAACTTTACCCGGATGTCGCCTACTGACTTCGAATATTTGTTAACAATCATTGCGCCTAAAATATCAAGACAAGACACTATAATGAGATCTGCAATTTCGCCGCAAAAGAGACTGGCTCTAACACTAAGATTTTTGGCAACAGGAGATTCATTTACAAGCCTTCAATACACCTTCAGAATTTCAAAACAGTCAATGTCTTGCATTGTACCAGAAGTTTGTGAAGCGATTATAAAATCATTGAAAAATAAAGTAGTAAAATATAGTAGAATATAGTAATATAGTGGGTATACAATAGAAGTAATAATTGTACTAATAGCAAGTAAGTGATAATACCTAAGTAAAAACTAAAGTAATAAATAAAAGTGTGTAATATGTAAAGCAACAGAAATTTATAATAAAACATACCTTTTCCGGAACTATGGCTCTTCTTTACTTTTCCTTTTTCTCTTCGATGTGAAGCAAGCAAACTAATCATTTTGTTTTTGCATTCTTCTACATCTCTTTCCAATGAATGAGCAATATCACTCCAAGCATCGTGTTTCAGATTTTTTTTATAGTATTGCGGGTTTTTTGGATCCCAAATAACAGGTTTTTCTTGATACAAACTAATAAGTTCAAGCGATTGTTCGTCACTCCACATCATGAACGTACATACGACACAACCGTCACGAACGCCGTCCAAACGAGCACTGCGAGCGTCTTTGTGTTCGCGCGAAAAACCGACAGCCGATGGATCAACCCCGAGCGCCGCGCGAGCGTTACATGTAATGCTCGTAGTGCCGTCCACACGTAGAATTCGTGTTACATTACACGGTGGATTACATTACACGTTACACTCGTCTGGACCCGGCTTAAGCGAGCAAAGAGCGGCTCGTTGCTCGCTGGTTTCCCCGTAACACGACGTACTGACTGCATGAATGCTCGCTGTATAACGTGTTACACTACACCTCGTAACGTTGGTCAGTTCCCACCTTAATGTAGTAATTTCTATTCAGTATTCACACCATACTAGTTTGTCTAGTACAGACTAATATATTTGATCAAGGGAAATTATTGATTTGTGAACTGGCAGTAAATGTAAAATTAGAAGCATTAATATTTATTTCTTTAATGACGAATCACAAGTGTACATTTTGTTACCTACGTGAATAAATGATTTTTGAATTTGAATTTATTAATTGCACATCAAATAAATAATCGCATATTAATATATTATTTTCATCATTTATATGCTTTTTATATCAATTAAATTACTTCACTACAAATAAACTAAATGTTTAACAAAACAAGTACTGCAGATAATTCGAAAATATACATCATCATGACATTACTTTTTTCCTCATAATGCGATACAAATAAATTTATTGAAGTGAAACTTCTTTATCGAGGTTGAAAAAAATTTAGTGTAGGTAACATTTTTTCGTTACGCGTCACATTTTTCGGTTACGCGCCATGTTGCTTTTTGAAGTCAAACTTCTTTATCGGCGTTGGAATGAAACTTCTTTATCGACGTATGGGAGAAATTTTGTAGCAAATCGTCACGTTTTTCAATGATAGTAATAATTCTATTACAATTAATGAAATTCTATAATAATCTTCGTAGTAATAAGGTAAAATGAAATATTTGTAAATATTTTGAAGTAAAACTTCATTAGGCGCGACAAGGGAGTAACTCAGATTTTTTTTCTGACGGAAGTAACGCTTAAACGTAGTTTCCGCTATTTAAAAAAATACGATAGCGCGTTTTATAAGTCCGTCAGCGCCATCTAGTGGTGCATTATTTGAACTGATTTAAGTCAGTTTCTTGGTTTAGGATAGCATTTATTCGTTTTATTTGATACTGATTCTTGTAATTATGTTATTATTAGTATATATTATATTTAAAATGAAAATCCATACTAGTAACATGTAACCAAATTAAAATTCCTCTAAAGAGGGAAGGTTCCCTCCTAGCTTGCTTTTCTTTTGTTATACATAGTAGTAGGCCAGTTTTTTAGCTTAATTTCGTATTTTACCATTTTGGAAGAAGTAATTTAATACTAAATTATTATCTTAAAAATCGGGTCTATTTTATATAAAAATAACCAAGTTGTATAAGAGAACTGAAAAGTGAATTAAAAAAATTCAACAGTTTTTTAATTAATCGATTGTTTTTTTAGCATGAAAAATCGATGAATAAAAATAGTTTTAAAGTGAAACTTTTATTACGTCTCAAACTTTTTCGTCTGTGTGTTGCATGTCGCGTGACGGTCGGCCGCGGAGTAGGGATAAAGTGAAAGGCGCTCGTCATAGCAGGCCAAGGCCGTCAAGGCCATTATTCAGTGCACCACGCTATTTTGTTTGTTTTTTTTAAATATGTGTATATAATCTAAATACATAATTGTTATTAATATGTGTATATAATCTAAATAATTGTTAAGTATTATGTATGTCGTACTCTCTAAGACACAGAATTTAAAAAAATATTCGGAGACAGTCTACTTTTATTATTTCCCATTATAATTCCAATTTTCCAAGTATAAAATTAAGATTGATAAAGCAATTTTTATACCCTTAATGAAATAATATTCCAAATTTAGATTTAGATAGATTTAGAAGAAAAAAATACCAAACGAAGAATCCGATACAGACCCTTTAATTTCAGTTCTGCATAAGACCATAGCGACAATAGAGAAGACAGATACACAGAATGATTCAAATTGTGACAGATTGTTTCTTTTATCCCTCCTCGACAGATTTCAAAATATCCCTACTGTAATGAAGACCAAAGCGAAAATGGAAATCATGAAAATTATAGAAAAATATCAACCGAACTATGAACCAACAGCGTGCATAAACTATTCAAGAAATTTCAATACTCTTTACGACCAAGAATATGACCCGCATCGACCGAATTATTCAGGTTATTCTACTACCAACAGGATATCAGATGATTCAAATTACAGCGATACTCATACTTATTATTCTGATATTTCCCAAAATTCAGAAATGATAGACCTATTTCCCAATTTGAATGATTAATTGTTCACAATTGCCATTTTTAAGTTACGAAAATACAAATAATTTGATTATCTACTTCAGTTTTTTATTATTTAAAAACATAGTTATAAGCAAGCCCTTTTCCTCTCCTTTTCAAAGTCGTAAAGTAGTATTGTTCATAAATTATTTAAAGTGGCACAACCATGGTCAATGAATTATACAGGTTGTTGTGAAAAACACAATAGTGGTGATTCAGAATCGAGTCCTGTATAATTCAAATTTACAAAAAAATCCATTA